CACCAGACTGAAAAGGCCTTTGCAGGAGCTAGAGGACAGGATGGGGGCTCCAGGGAGGTGGGGGGCGGGCAGATCTCTGGAAGGGCCACCACCCATTCCTGTCTCTTCCCCTCTCTTTTCCACTAAGCTGTAAAGGTTCCACGTCCCCCGACTCGAAACCTATATGAGCACTTTGGTGTCATCTGCCCCCGTGAGTACCTGTTCCCCAAGCCACTGGCCCAGCTGGGATTCTGGTTGGGTCCCTCAGTCCCAGACTGGGGCTGTCCTGCCCCGCCTTGTACGTCTCTCACATGCTCTGGAGTGGCCCCCACCCAGCTCCCAGCTCCCAGCTCCCAGCCTGGGCTCCTGCTTCACCTTTCAGTCTGGCCTCCTGGCCTGGGCACCTAGAACGGCTATTTTTTCCCAAGTGGCCAGTTGGCTGCAAAGGTGGGAGAAGGGAGCCCACTCATTCTCCGGTGTTTCTCTGCTGGAGCCCTGTGAGCTGTATCAGGGCATGACCACCGCCCTCCCCCAATATCCACCAGTGAGGGCTCCTTGACCAGGCTAGGGAACTGAGCTCCCCTGATGCATATCGCCCTGTACCAGGCATTGTGGGCACTTTACAGTGGACAAAGCACTCTCTCCCTTCTGATCTGTCCTTATCCCAGTTGGTGCCCAGAGTTACGGGGCACCAGTCCATCTGAAAGAGGGGGAGCTGAGGCACAGCGACCCTGGGCTGAGGAATGCCAGAGCCAGGACTCCTCCGGGTGCCCTGCTCCACTCCTGGTGTGCTTTGTCTTCGGTCACCCCCACCCCAGAGGTTTAGGGTGCTTGCGACTGGATGGGCCGCGATGAAGCACTTCCAGTTTAGGGTTTCTCCGCTCCTTAGTCAGGCTAGTCTCTCTCCAGAATGTTCTTAGGACAAATCACGGGTCTCTCTTGCCCCTCCCAGCCCTGCGCTCCAGTGCCAACATCCGCTCAGAGACTTCAGGCCCCCGTTCAACGACACCAGCTCACACGCCATCTCTGCCACCCTTGCCATTGCTGCCTCCCCTGATGCCACACCTGCAGGAGCCCCAGCAGGCCTCAAGGTCCATCAGGCATCCAAGGCCTCAGCGCCCCTATTCCCGAGTCAGCACGCAGACGACCTAGTAGCCCGACCACCTGTGAGCCCTGTACCCTGTGCCCCCACCATCCCTTCCACTCCCCGTGCCAGCCAAGACCAGGCCTGGGGAATGTGCAGGGGCCCTGGACATAGGGGAGGGGACCTCCATAAGGGATTCATTGTGACCTAGTGGCTTTTAATCACTTTGCATATAAATACAACACAATCCTTCTTAGCCTATGTTACATGAAGAGCACAGCTTTCTAGATTGAATTTTCCACTAAACCAATCTAATCCCTTAGCCAATTTTTTTCCTGCTAATCCTCACCTAAAGCTGTTTTCCCATGGATTTTTAAAGAGAGAGGGGTTGTGGGGGAGTGTGAGAAACATCGATGTGAGAGAGGCACATTGATTAGTCGCCTCTCACATGCGACTCCACCAGGACCGGGGACTATACCTGCAACCCAGGTACATGCCCTTGACCCGAAATTGAACCCATAACTCCTTTGTGCTCAGGCCAACACTCTAACCACTGAGAAACACTGGTCAGGGCTCCTTGACCAATTTTCAATATAGCATAGTTCAAGTGGTTTAAAAAACACTTTCCTTTTTACTTTGCTGAAATGATTTCATCAGTTTCAGTTCCAGTGTCTGCCACTGTCCATTTCCTTTGGGTGCCATTATTTCTACCAGGACCAATTTTCTCATGGGAACCAAATGTTACCAAATGCATTTTTAAAAAATTTGTATTGATTATCTCCACCAGTAATTACTGTTATGAAGTGAATGTTTAAAGAAATTGGTTATTTGTATTTACTTCTGGCGAATCCCTGAGGGACTTGGAGCGATGCCCCTGGAATAGCCCAGGATTGCTCTGTCCTATCCAGGGCTGGGGTCCTGCACGCCTGGGAGGCGGGTCTGGTTCCCATGCTAACTGCCCACGCACTTGGTGGAACAGAGCAAACCGGGCGGTCAGAACATTCCGAGCTGGCAGTTTAGGGGCCCTCCTCGGCTTGCAGAGCTGAGCTCACACCTGCCTGCGGGCCTGCATAGTCCACGCCTGGCTTGATTTCTTGCCGTTGATGGCTTATCCCTCCCTCTCTTCTCCCTCTGGGTTTTCACTCGCTCACTTGTCCAGTTGTGCTCTGCCCTTTGTGTACTTGATACTCTATCACATTTCATACACTGAAAAAGTTTTCCCTCTGTGCAGTATCAGACCATGACCTCCCCCCCCCCCACCATCCACTAGAGGCCCCTGGGAGTGAGGTGGGGTGAGCTATTGCGGGGGGGTGTCTTCCCTGAGTCGGGGAGGCTGGGGGACTCAAGGCTCTGCCAGGGAATTGGCATGGAGAGTTCCCTAGACCAGGTGGCCATTGGAGTCCAGGACACTGTGTGCCTGCCCCTTCCCAATGTCTCCCAGGCTTCCCCCCAGTTCCCTACTGGTGACCACTCCCAGCCCTGACTTCTCTTTTCTCTCTCCAAGGACTGTGTCCACATGGGGCCAAGCTCTTCCTGACCCAGGTCTATGCCGCCTGGACAGACACTGGTGCTGAAGCCCCAGCCTCCATCCCCACCCCACCCCACCCCCCATATCACAGATGAGTATTTTTGGCAACTCCTCCCCAGAATAAAATCTTTCACCTTTCACTTTTCTGACTGTGGATGAGGGTAACTGACCCAGTGTCCTTTGTGGAGGGTGGCTTTGCCTGCCCCACATGAGTGTGTGAACCTGCTGGTCCCTCCTTGGCCACCATGCCAGGGTCAGCCTCCCAGAGCCACTGGAACCACCGTGGCTGACCCTCAGCAGAGAATTGCAACCAACCATCCCTCCTCCGTCATACTCCCACTGTGGCAAAGTGCCCTGAGCTGCCCCAGGCCTGTATGGTGGACAAATGAGGGGTCTGTGGGCAGGGACATTGGTGTGACTTGCCCAGGGTAACAGTGAGGCCTCAGCTCTCCAGCCCCCACCCACGAGGCCATACTTCTTGGATGCTGTACACAGGTAAGAGGGCCTGGACTTCTCTGAGGCAAGAAAGGGAGATATGGCCTGTGCTCTGGCAAACAGGCAGCTGGAGTTCCTGGGAAAGCTCCATGCCAGCCTTGTCCCTTGAAACCCTGACATGAGGGCACCCACAGGCACCTGGGCTCGCCACTCTGCCCCTCGTATCCATCCCCATTCGGCCCCTCAAAGCTGCCTCCTCAGCCATTTCTCAGAGTCAGTGCTCTACTTGGTTCCTGTAACCCAGGGAGTGGAGTGAGACCCGGGAATCACTGTGTAATCGTTTGCTTTCTGACAGCCCTCAATGCTCTGGAGGGTGGGAAACCGCAGTCCCAACTGCAGCCAGCCAGGAGCAATCCTGAAAGACGACAGTCCTCTCCCCCATGGGGTGGGGGAAGACGGCCTTTGGCCTGGTCCCAGGTGGAGATGCAGGCAGAATCCTTGCAGAACTCCCCCTCCCTGATCCCAGCCCCACGGGGTGGGACCTGAAGGCCTTGAAAACTGGAGGGGAGGTGCTGTGCCCACTGCCAGGGCAGCTGCCTCAGGAGGGTGGCCCACCCCACCCCAGCACGGGAAGGCGCTTGGGGAATAGACAGAATAAGGGGTGGAGTCAGCAGAGTAGGGATTTCGGAGGGTCCTAGGTCCAGATTCCTCCTCTGCAAAGGGGACCACAACCCCAGCCTGGGACACAGTGGCAGGGCCAGGCTGGACAGGGAGTAGGGTGACCCAACTGCCTGAGAGAGAGAGAGAGTGTGTGTGTGTGTGTGCGCACGCGCGTGTGCTGAGGTGGGGGTGGGGGGGCTCTGGAACGTTGTTTTAAGACAGATAAATTGGTCATATGAGGTGGAAGTCATGTGGGGTGGCCAGTATGTAGGGCTGCATGAATGAGCCTGCAGGAAGGGAAGGAAATGCCTCTTGCCAAGCACAGGGTCATGCCTTAAGGTGCTGCCAGAATGGGGATGCTGTGTGACCACCCTGCACCCCCAAACCCAGTCCCACAACCCACCGATGCAAGTTAAAGGGTCACAACATTTTCTCCTTTTCAATGACCAGGAACTCTTTAACCCTAAGGTATAAATGACAACAACAGCAAACGTGTGTCCCAGACAAGTGGATCTGCATTGGAAAAAGCACTACCAGTCCCCAAGCGCAGGCTGCCAGAGGCGGCAGTGAGGCAGTGCCTTCTGTGCAGGCACTCTGAAATCAGTCCACACTGGTCCCCGTCACCATCACCTTGGCTGGCTTGACCCCTGACTTTGTATGGATTTAGGCAGAGACCCTCCAAACCCCCACACAATTGCCAGAGAAGGGCTTCTCTCCTCCCTCCTCCTGCTCATGGCGTCACCAGGATCCACAGAAAATGTCCCCACCAGTATTTGCAGCTGTTATTCCCCAGATAAGAAATGGCCCCAGAAAGCAGAGGAGAACTCTGCCAACAGGCTCCCAGCACCTCCTACTGTGCCACTGAGGAGGCCTCAGCTACCCTGGAGGAGGACCTAGCACCCCACCCCTAAAAGAGTGGTATTCTTTTAAGGCTCATTGGAAATACATATACTGCCCAATCACAGCTGTGCCTAAGCAACCAGAGACCTTTCCAAATGTAGAAATTGGAGACAGCTTTGCCTCAAAATATCTCCTTTTGGCCCAACCCAGGCAGCCTCCCCAACACTGACACTGGGAAGCAACTGGAGTCAAAGCCAGTCTGTCCTCAAATGAGTCCTGCTATGAAAAGCCCCTCAGAGATCCCGGCTCCAGCAGCCCCGCCCACTGGGTTTGGGGGCCAGCCTTAGGGACAGTGAGGTTTTCTTCGGAGGTACAATGTGTTCTCAGCAAACCCTAGGACGACCCTGGGAGCGTCCCTGTCACCCAGAGAATATTGCTGGGGAACAAGCCCTCCTCTCTTTAAAGCTGTGTGAAGCCCTGCCTGCCCACAGAAAGCATTTTAGAGTCACCACTCACCTGCCAGGTGCCGCCCACCCCCACCCCACAGAGCAGGGCATTTACGTCCAAAGCTCCTCCCGGGAAAGCGAGATCCCACCTGATTCCAAGACAGGACGAGAACTGGACACACACACATATCCTGGTGGCCAGTGGAATGGCTGGCTGGTCAAGGGCAGGCTGGCTGTGTCTTCACTGTGATGGTCCGCTTCAGCCAGCTGTGGCCATGAGGGAACGTCAATGTTACAAATTTCCAAGATAAGCCAGAAGGGAGGCATTTCATGTAAACTATCCTCATTTGAAAATGTTGGCAGACAAAAAAAACACACTATGCAAGCCAAACAGCACACTATGGGACTGTGAGTTTGCAACCCCCTAAGACCGTGGTCAGCAAACTGTGCCTCACGAGCCACATGGGGCTCTTTGGCCCCTTGAGTGTGGCTCTTCCACAAAATACCACGTGCGGGCACGCATACAGTGCGATTGAAACTTCATGGCCCATGCGCAGAAGTCGGTTTTCAGCCTGGGCGAGTCTATTTTGAAGAAGTACTGTTGATATTTGGCTCTGTTGACTAATGAGTTTGCCGACCACTGCCCTAAGACAACCATACCCCCCTCTTTTAATGGCAGACCAGAGGTGCAGCCGCCTCTTCTCGGGAGGCCAGGTCATCATTCCCAAACGTTGCCACATCCCCTCTTCAGAAATGAGATACGTAGAGATCAAATCACATTCCTGTAAGCAACTTCATGGATGCAAATGGTGTTTTTAAAGTGGAATTTTGGAAACAGTCATTTGAAGCTCAAGTCTGGTGGTCATATAGGTGACCAAGCCCAAAAGAGGGTGGACTTTGAAGTGACAAGGCCGATTTTCCCAGGAGGTGCCCGAGAGTCACCTGAGATTCAGCCGAACCTGGCTGTAAATATCTGTTCCATTCGTATACCAGCACCTTTACTTTTTAGCCTGTTTACACTTGAATATGTAATAGATGGTTATTGATGCCTTCAGTATTACTCCTGAGCTTCCAGGTTTGGGGAAGCTAAGGAAGACTCCTGGTTCTG